TGTATTTAACACTAGTGATGCACTAGCTCTTTTCTGTCATGAGCATAAAAATGTATTGCCAGTTTCAAAAAAGTTGGCAAGGTACAGTTTGTACCACTCCTTAATGGTTTTCAGTCTGTGTCACAGCTAAATAAGGAAGATTTATTTAGGGGGTAGAATGTGTAGTCTAGATGGTTGATTTTGTCTATGTTGTTCCTTGCAGCAAGGCACTTACTTACTGAACAATAAGTACATTTACTGTGTGTACCTTTCCCCCTGTTTGTTGGAATTCATATGGTAAATAGAAGAAATAATATAGCCTGGTGGTTTTTTTTTTTTCGTTTTTATTATTTTGTAGTTAAATTATTTTAACTGAATATTATAGAAAAATCAATAACATACACAGTTAAGTAGTACATAGTCAAATAATTACTTATAAGATGAATTTGCCCCCAAATCCTGAGATGTATTTCTCACAAACCATTGATGGGAAAGGGTCAGTGCATTTTTATTCCTTAGTGCATTTTTTTTTCCTAGCTATTATTTGGACACATGGCCAGTCATTGCAGTTGCTTTTAAATTTAATGAAGTGCAAAAGATCAACCAAAATGTTTTTGTTTTTTTTTAAATATTTCCTGGGGGAAATAAATTGCTCTCTGTTGCATCCTTCATACTCTAAGCAGCATCTCTGTCTCACTGTGCAGCTGCTACTTAGAAAATTATCAAAATCAGCACTTACCTAAAAGATCCTCATTCTAAGAAAAACATTCAATAGAATGTAAAGTTTTATCAACATTTCCACAGAGAAGCCAAGAAATTCCTTACTTGGAAAGACTAGTTGTTTCTTCATTATTTATTTAGTGGTTTAGGCCAAGTTTTGGTGTAGGTGAAATATGTGAGAAAATATCTTCCAAATTTTAAAATGTGATTATTTTTCCTAGATCCATTTTTAGACTGAGAACATTTGACTTTTAAAAAAATACCATACTTCTCTAGCATTTTTAATTTGCTTACAGAAAAGCAGTCTTTCAGTTAGAACAGTTAGCTCAGAAAGTCTATTCTCAGAACTATGCTGACCTCACTGATGATGTAATCACAGATGCTTTTGACAAATAATATAAGACAGTCATAAATAAATTAGTCTTGTTGGCTGGGAATTAGGGAGAAACAGGAATAAATGTTTATTGGAATGGAAATAATGAACCTGGAAAATAGTGAAGTTTCTAGGAGGATAATACAAACACTAGAGAAAGAAAACTAAACACTGAAAACAAATGATTGTCCCAAATAAAACTCTTGGATTTCAGCACTCCAGAACTTCATTAAAATGTGGATACAAACATATGGATTTGTTTCAAAGAAGTAGTTTGAAATAAGCTCTAGTAGTAACTGTTAAGCACAATCCTTATTGGTCAGCATTTTTGCATTTTTACATATTTACTCCTACTATTTCATCAGCTACAAATGAAAATCATTTAGCTGGAATTCAAAAAATTCTCTTCATTTTGAATAAAACAATTGGCTCACTTTGCATTTTAGTTCTAGAAAATATGGTTTTGAAATTCATGTTACATGACTCCATGGCAGGTGTGGAGTACATTAAACATTTTTGTTTACTGGATTGGCAATTGCAAGAGAAGAAATGCAGGACTGTAAGAGGTGTGTGTAATACTGTCTTCTCTGAACATATGAAGCAAAGCACAAGCATTCTATAATAATAGAGTGCTGGCACTGAAGAAAAGTTTTATGTGAAGAAAAATTTATCTTCTTTTATTGGCATTAAAAATAATGAACTTAAGTCCTCACTGAACTGATGGAAACAGCTGGTCCACAGGCTAAGCTTTTTTGATGCTAAAGGGAGCATCATCTTGGCTATCTCCTCAGAATAGCTTCATCTATTTTCTTTTCTTTTCTTCTTTTCTTTTCTTTTCTTTTCTTTTCTTTTCTTTTCTTTTCTTTTCTTTTCTTTTTTTTTTTTTTCTTTTTTTTCTTTTTTCTTCTACTCTTTGTTTATATGTCCACAGATGCTGCTTTTGGGCTTGTCCTCATTTGCTGCAGCTAAAGACTTTGCCACTCTGCTATTATTGAAGTACTTTCAATCGCATTATAGTGTTACACATTGAGACTACTGCACAGTGTTGAAGATGGAGAGCTATTACAGTCCTGCATATTTTCTTTCTCTCATTTATAATGACTTTTACAATAATATTACTTACAACAGGGAAATGCAAACGTTGTTCTTGATTGTAGGTAATTTTTCAGATAAAAGCACAAGAGGCTTCAGTTTTGATCATTATCAGGAGTAAAATACTCAAAGGGCTACATGGAATTTTCTTCCTTACCCATCACATGCAGCAGTGCTGAATGGGACATAAAACCTTTCTTTTGTGGGGACTGACAAGCCCATTTTTTGTCTGATGGAGCCAGACTAGGTAGACTGCTGCTGCTGTTTTCACTAGAGATAGCCTCAGTACAGTGGCACAGTCTTACATCCCTTCTGATAACTGTATGCAAGCTTCCCATGTGATAAGGCTCCTTGAAATTTTAACTATGAAGATACTCTTCTTGGGAATTATTAGACTCTAGCCTTGCCTAACCTACAGCTTGTTAAGTTTTTTTCAGTCAGAAGAATAAAAGATTTCACATCAGAAATTAGTTGCATGTATCTGACAATATATTATGGTTCCAGCATTGTTGTCTCAGTAAGGAAACCACTAAGGTTTAACGTTTATTTTGTACCTTCTAACTTATTAAGGTCAATAACGTATATATTGTGCTTGAAAACTATACTTGAAATCTAATTAACAAGTCACAGGCTTCAGAACTATTGCTACCTGTCTATATTTCCTCCTATGTAAATCTTGATTCTGCCCTACAGTTTTTGGCAGTTTCCATTTGTTTTCAGCTCTTGGTGGAAAATATCAGTGAAAAGGAGAATATGCTATTGGTTTGGAAACTAATAACCATGTAGTGTAGGTTTCTGACACCATCACTCCACCCTAGTGTCACAAGTATTAGCACAATCTTTCCATCACCACACCCTTTTCTCAGTCATTAAAAGTTTTGTTCTGGTGCCATGTTCTCTGCTAGACAGCCTTCCCTGCCTGTTTATTCTGTCCTTACCTTCCTCTTAAATCCAGCACTGTTCATTGGTTTTATTTCTTTTTTCCTCAGGCGTGAGAAGGGTGTATTTTGATACACAGATTGAGAGTATTCCTACACTTTCCAGTAAACAGCTTATACACTGTTGTTTCAGTCCTGTTTTATGGCTTTACTCTCTGTGTGCTAATCCTGAAAGCCTTATTTGGCTTAATTCAGTCCTGTCAGGAAAAATGTTGAAAACTATACTTGGAGAAAGGAGTGGGCAGGAAGGGTTATTTCCACCCCTATTTCACATAGACATTCAAGAGATGGTTTATTTTTCTACCAGTGCAGAGAATATACATTGAAGTTAACAGAATTCTATCTATCTATCTTCTATAATATTGTATGGTACATGAACTGGTAAGCTTGGCTTAGAAGGAAGTGGAAGTAAGATTGAAGCCAAATGCACTACTATAGAAAATGAATAAAATTTTCTTAAACAGTTGCATGTATAGTCTTTCCCAGATCATCTAAAAATGTGGAGTGTGCTTTTAATAGAGAATAGAAGAATCACAGAGTCATAGGAGTTGGAAGGGTTCCCTGGAGATTACCTAGTCCAACCCTCGGCTAAAGCATATTCCCTGTAGTAGATTACATTTGCATCCAGGTGGGCTTTGAATACCTCCAGAAAAGAAAACTCTTAGCCCACAGGAAAAAAAACCTAAATTCATTAACCATGAGCTTAGCCAATGGGAAAATAATTCTGTGACTGAAGAGCCATTATGCATGCTCATTCTCTTGCCATCTTCAGAAAAGAATGTTCACAAAGATATCATCATCATATCTCACATCTCACAATGCCTCCAATTTATTTATTTATTTATTTATTTGCACATGATACCTATGATTTTCAGTGTTTCTCTTAGCTTTCTTTAGGTAGTGCTCCTGTGCTCAATTACAAGGGAAAGCAGGAAAGTAAAAGGTTTTTGCTTTCATCAAAGAAAATCTTTTGAAGCAACTGTATTTTGATTATCAGACATACTTAAAAAAAAAAGTCTGTCCTGTCCTATGGATATGACAGGACCTGTAAGGTTGATATTATATATGAAATGCTTATTCATTTTATTTACTATTTACTTCTCTTTTTATTCTTGAATATACTAGTGCTGATGGCTTAAGACACAATACAAATAACATCTTAGTCTAATCTCAGCCAGAAAACGCACCACAGCCACAAAAATAAAGTCAAGTTCAGAGAAGCAAAATCAATCTCCAGAGAAAAATAATCATTTAAATGAATGATAAAAAAGAAAAAACAAAATCAATTTCCTCTAAAGAAGATAAGGAATTGCATGAAAAAAAATATTACGTAACATGGCAAAATGCCTTGCTACCCAAAGGAGGCGCAAGCAATCTATAAATAGGAAAAAAAGGTTACAAAGCTACAAGGACAATCAAAGCAGGAAAATAAAATAATGTTTCATCATATTCTATGAAATGATCTTGGGACATGAAAAATAGGTGAAAGAAAATAAATTTTACGGGATCACGTTGGAATGTCAAATAACACTGGAAAAGTCTGGAAAATACATGAATGCATTTATGTGTAAACCTGTGCATGCACTTATTTTCCTGCTACACATATGCATGCTACAACAAAAGGTAACAGAAGCTACACCTGTTTTTTGTTTTGTGTTGGTGTACCAATAGCTGCAAACAAAAAAATTAAAATGTAGGTTCCTTTTGGAATTCCTTTTGTATCTGGACTGTTAGACACTGTATGGAAATTGTTGAATCACAGCCTGAACCTCTGATTGATCACCTGAGGCAAGCACCGAGTCAGCTGTGGGAGTGCATGTGAAGGCAATTCAGCTATGTGACCAGAAGGGCTGGAGCCTGGCTCCACCTCTCCTAGACCCCATTTAAGGGCTGACTGCCAGTAGGGAAGGATCATTGCTTGGAGATTGTTTATTTTGGAGTTTTTCTGTGAGCCCAGGATATGGGTGAGCATTTCCATTTATTTTTTATTATCCTTTTCTACCGTGATAATCTTTCTAGCTGTATGATCTGTAGATACCAGCCTAACTACGCCCCTCTGTATATTTGTTGATTATAGATACAAATTGCATTTCACAATAATTAGCCTAACCAACTACTGTGATATAGAAACCTTTGATTTCCTTTCTTTTCTCAGATTGTGACAGCATATTTTTCCTGTAATTGTGTTTTTCAGCATTTACTGGTAGTCTGCTTACTCTTGTTGAAGCTTTGATGCTGATGTTGTGTTGATCTCCTTAATGTGTAAGTTAATATGTTGGTCATTCTGAAAACAATATCTCTTATTTAATTCCATAGAGATTACAATGCATACGAGGAGTATGATAACAGTACTTGATGGAGAAAACTTTCAGCTACAAAACGTAATTTTCAACATATTTACCACTGTTAGCTACACATTTTCAACAACTATTAACTGGAGCCTGAATGCCATACGTATAGAAGTCTGTGTGGCTGTCCAAAATGTGAATTATTTTTCATGTTACTGATGCCTGTTAAAGTGCACTGCACACAACCTTGCTGTTCTCATGTCTACTGTTACGTTTCAATGAATATTAACAGTTACTTATAGTTTTGCAGAGGTCCAGAGAAGTTAAGTGAGTTACATGTAAATATTTAAAAAAACAAATGTAATGATTCATCCATTGAGACTATAGTTCGTAAATCTTGATTAAGATATGATATTAATGTAATTGTATTTTTCCTAAAATTTAAGTTTTTAATATATCATTAATCCTTCTTAGCTTTCTAATCACTCTTGGCACTTGTAGAAGTTTCCTAAATCAGGAAGCCACCGTAAAGCAAATCATATTTTAATTCTCATGATATATTAAAACCATTTCAAGTATTATGTATTGCTGTAACAGTTTTACTGATGTTTAACGCATGGATAATTATTTTTTTTATTTCAGATAACTTATGTGTAAAACTATACCAGAAGAACATTAAACTCTAGGAGCCAGAACTTAGGATATGTTGAAGTTATACTTGTCTGTACAACCTTCTCTACGAACTACCATGTACCTGAATTGTCTGGTTTTGTGATCATGTGATTGTTTTCTCCCATCATTACCATTTTTTTTTTTTTTTTCCTTAGGATGAATTGAAAATATTTGTCAAGACTCTAAATCCCTTTACAACTCTCTCCCTGCCCACTCTTCAGGACTGCCTCTCTACTTGTCCTGTGCCCTGGACCCAATTTCATGTCCTGGGACCTTCAGTCTTTGGTCTAGCAAGGCCACAGCTGGGCTGGTGTCCAGCTCCCTGTAACCAAGCCTGAGGGGGAACAGAAAGCTAGCTACACACAGGCCATTATTTCTGGAGTGTAAGTGCATTGAGGATTACTGATGAGTGTCAGTGAGCGACTGTGTATGGTTCAGCTGCTGGAACAGTCCTTGTGTGATTCTAGCATATGTCAACTAGAAAAATCCTAGAGAGTCCCACTGGTCACAAGTGTGACTGCTCTGCAGACTGTTCCCTGTGGGTATCTGCAGTCAGCCTTGTGTGTTGGGGCAGGCATGAGGACTGCCTGCTGGATTCAATGTCTGGATATATTTAGTTAACTTGCAGAGCCATAGCCTTAGGCCTTCTGCAATGTGGGGGTCAACTGCACAGGAAAAGTCAGCATTGATAGTTGCCTAAGCTAGATATAAGTCAGTGTTCATCCCTGCGGATCTGCTCCCTCTGCCTAATTTCTGACTAGGGGGCTGCAGTGATCTTGAGTGTGGAAGTAGTTGTGCTTGAATGTCAGCCAACTTTTTGGGGCTTCCTTATCTTCCAATGCTCTAACCCATAGGATGGTTCCAAGCAGACACTCGAAGACATCAAAGGTGGCTCTCCTGAAGTTCAGGGTTACAATCCTACTTATTGCCTCGGTTTTTTGCACATAGGATCCTGAATTACGCTATCTCATGGTCACTGCATCCAAGGCTGCCCACAGCCTTCACATTTCCAACCACTTTTTGCTTCTTTGTAAGAATAAGATCCAGCAGCACTTCTTACTGTTTCCTTCCCCAACTTAGAAAGTTATCTTCTGTGTGCTGCAGGAACCTTCTGAACTGCATGTGCCCAGCATGGTTGCTTTTCCAGCAAATTTCAGTGTTTAAAGTCGTCCCCCCCCCATGAGAACTAGTTCCTGTGATTGTAAGGATACTTTCAGCTGTCTGTATAGGGATTCATTGACTTCCTTCTCATCAAGCAGCCTCCACAGTTATGTCACCCATGTTATCCTGCCCCTTAATTCTTACTCAGAAGATCTCTACAAATCCATTGCATATCTCTAGGCAGAGCTTGATACATTCCTGTCTTTCTCTCGTATAAAGTGCAACTCTACTGCATCTCCTTCACAGAATGGCCAGGGCTGGAAGGGACCTCAAGGATCATGAATCTCCAACCCCCCCTGCCACAGGCAGGGCCACCAACCTACACATTTAATACTAGATGAGGTTGCTCAGGGCCCCATCCAATCTGGCCTTGAACCCCTCCAGGGACGGGGCATCCACAACCTCTCTGGGCAGCCTGTTCCAGTACCTCACCACTCTCCCTGTAAAGAACTTCCCCCTGATGTCCAACCTAAATCTTCCCTCCCTCAACTTCAAACCATTTCCCCTTGTCCTGCTGTTATCTGCCCTTTCAAAGAGTTGACTCCCCTCCTCTTTAATACCTAAAGGGAGCCTATAAAAGGCTGCAATGAGGTCACCCCACAGCCTTTTTTTCTCCAGGCTGAACAAGCCCAGCTCCCTCAGCCTGTCTTTGTAGGGGAGGTGCTCCAGCCCCCTGATCATCTTTCCGGCTCTCCTCTGGACCCTCTCCAACAGTTCTGTCTCTCTTGTATTGGGGGATCCAGACCTGGACGCAGTACTCCAGATGAGAGTAGAGAGGGACAATAACTGCCCTGTCCCTGCTGGCCACCCTTTTTCTGATGAAGCCCAAGGATACCATTTGCAGTCCTTGTTGGACTGTCTTTCATAAGAAGTATATAGCTGCCCATAACTGTATTCAAACCCTACCATGTCTCCTTGATCGCAATAAGATCATGGCCCTGTGGCAGCACAGATCTCTAATTCTTGTTTATTCCCCATGGTGTGTGGATTGGTATACAGACACATCAGAGAATAAAAGGGAGCCAAGGATTCAGGTTTGTTTAGAAGGATGAAAAAGAAGCTCCCATAATGATACACAACTTTGAGGCAGCTGGTAACCAACAGTTCCTGGGTAGGTTTGGCCCAGTTGTGTGACTAAATGTGGCAGAGGGACCCACAGACCAACAGCCAAGAAAGAGGAAAAAGGTAGGGAGATGGGCTTAAATGCAAAACAGTAGCAGCGAGATAAGAGAGGTTCAAGCTTAAAGAGAGTAGATTTAGGTTAGATATAAGGAAAACAGTATCTTACAGTGGGGGTGCTGAGGCATTAGAACAGGTTACCTAATGATGTGGTGGATGCCCCATCCCTGGAAAGTTTCAGGGTGAGGCTGGATTGGGCCCTTAGCAACCTGGTCTAGCTGTGGTATTCTTGTTCATAGCAGGGGAGTTGAACTAGATGACCTTTATTAGGTTCCTTCTAACTCTAAGGATTCTATGATTCAAGTAGACTTTTATAAATAAAGGAAAGATAGACCTTAGAAATCTGTTAGAATCTTTCAAGATGTCACCAAGTGAACGATTAAAGGAAACTCCATGGATATAGTTTACTTAAATTCCTAAAGCTTTTGATGTTCTCATCCTGAAAGGACTGTGATTTTTTTTTTTTTTTTTTTCCAAGATAAGAGAGATAGTCCTCTGGTGTAGTAATACCTGGACAACAGATAGAAAACAGAAAAATAAAAGGCAGGAGTAAATTATTACTTAACATATTGGATGTTATCTGCTATGATACCTGTTCAGTATAAATGACTGGGAAAAGTGATGAATGATGCTGTGACAAGGTCTGCTGATCATTTTTATTGCTCTGAATAAGTTTGTATCATAATTGATGGTAAAATAATGGGGAAGTCTTTCACAGAACTAAGTGACAGAATGATAAAATGACAGATGAAATTCAATGACAATAAATGCAAACTAATGCGCATGGAAAAAACAGCCCTAACTAAAAATACACAGTGATGAACTCTGATTTGGTTATTACTGCTTAGGAAACAGATTTTGATTTCATTGTCTCTCCATTAAAAGTGTTATCTCAGTGTCAACAGCTTTCAAACCAGAAAATAGAATGCATGAAGCTTTAAGAAATGATTAGAGGACAAAACAGTAATGCTATCTGAAAAATTTTTACGTAGCTATATCTTAAATACTGTATGAAGTTCTGGTTATAACTAAATTGAGAAACAGTATTGTCTGAAAACTAGATAAGAACACTGGGAAGAAAGTTTCTGTTTTGGAAAAATGTAAAATTACTCCCCAGAATCATGAAATAATAATTTGATGGCATTACATTAAATTATTGAGAAGATATTTTAAAACATAGGAGAAAATAATTTTGTCAGATGCATAATATAAGACTATAAAGTTCAGAGCCATAGGATACAGTTCTGTAGCAAATAAATGAATTTTAAAAGTGATCAGATAAATTCATGAAATACAAGTCCACCAAAGCCAATTAAACAGTAAAGTAGGGATGTAATTTCAGCTCAGAAATTCCCTAAGTGTGGAAGACATTCTAAGGAAGATATTTGTCTCCCTAAACAATTCTAATTTTGTAATAAAATGCTAATTATATCTGTTTATACTGAGATATAGGCTTTTCTATATAAATGTTTAATAAAGAGTTTATAATAATAATTATAAATAATATATTAAATATACTTGCTTGGATTCTTCTACTACTAATGTGCCTCATCTGACCTCCATCCTGAGAGGCAATCCCCACCTCTCATTTTCTTGTGTGGTTTAACCCTGCCTTTTTCAGTCTGACTATAGGATCCTATCTCACTTGGAAGTTTTAAAGTAGTATGCCTGTGCTGAGGGATGGAGACAGTGTCTTTGCCTATTTATAGGAACTGAGAGACTTTTATTCTGAATAGACTGTATGCTGACAGGGAAAAAAGTTACAGCCATAGTCCAAAGTAGATACAAAACTGTGAAGATAAACGGAAAGAGTTTATCCCAAAATGCCTACCAGAGTCACAAGATGTAAAAAAGAAGTAGCACAACAAAGTAATATTTTGCAATATATTTTGACACAAATACATTACTATTACTTTATATGGGATTACAAACATAGAACAATCACTGGATGACATCTTGCCTAAAGCAATTTATTATTATACAGATGTTTCCCTCTTCTGTTAATTTGTCTGCAATTGAAGCAGATTTTCCTTAGCAATTTCCCTTTTTTATACTGGCTTCTATTTCATAAGTTCCATATTCATTTTAGTTCTCAGATTTAGATAATAATTAAAAAATCAATAAATATATCAGTATTATTGATTAGTTCAAGTACAAGTGATAGAAGTCACACTTCATCTAAATGTTTTTCCGATTTTACATATATGCCTCTCTTGCTTAGGGATTCAGTTCCATTCTCAATACACTTTCCAAAGAATTTCTGACTTTGTATCCATCTGTATTTTAGTAACGCTGACATGACATTTCTGACATCAAATCCGGGGTGCTTTCTAAACTCTCATTTATTTAATTCTTAGAATTAAAACTATCTGAGAATTAATTCAACACCTGTCTAACTTTAGAGTACTGTCTCCAGTAGCATCTGTTCTTGGCTTCCAGCTTGTGCTATATATCTCTAACTCATCTTTCTTATGCATCCTGTATTCATGCTGAGAGATCATAAGTTTTCTTCACGAATTTGTGTAAAATTCTCAGAAGTAGTGAATATTAGGAAGGAAATAATGTTTTATATATTCTAAGTGTAAAGGAGAATAACATGTCAAACAGCCAAAAAGTGAATCTGTGTGTTAAATTTTAAAGAATTTGGACTGTAAAATCTTGAATTTTAAATAGTCTTCTCAGTTCTTAATAAAAACCCTTCTTTTTATATAGTTTGTGCAGTGCTTGTGAATTAAAACCAATACCAAATGATGATGTGATTGTGAGATCTTAGGAGATATAGTGATATTAAATTGAAGTAGTA